TGATCCAAGCAGAATGAGTGGTATGCACGTATGCTATTGTTTGTAATTTGAATGCCAACTCTTATTGTACATATCCCAATTTGCTGCCTCGTGATGACGAGAAGTATTAAGAGTACTAAATCGCTACAATAGCCATCAATTAGTTCTACATTCCTGTGGTCGTTCTTGAGCAGTGAATAATAGCGGTCGGACCTGACAAACTTACCGGACACAGTGTCTCACAGATTGGGCAGTGCACTGATCCAAGCAGTCTACCAGAAGGCGCTTCCACGTTTAGTTTGATTGAGCCTCCCTCAAGTGGACAGGTGTATGTGGAATTACCAATTGTGACCTCCAACCCCGAGCCTCGAACGCATCGGTGCTGAAAAAATGTTACGGAAATGTCAAAATGCACAAGATGGCGGATTTTGGTTTTCATAATGTCGACATTCTTTAGGCTAAATCTAGTTGTGATCACAGAATTAGGTTATTTAGGACTTGGTACTCTGTTGCCGAATTTCTTCCCGCAATGAGCAGTAAAGCATAGATGAACTAGTTAATCAGGCTATCATTATCAGATGAAATGATCCAGCAAAAAGATCCTCCAGGGGCACACATTTCCCCTATTTTGGCGCACTTACATCTGACCAAATATTAGTGTTGGCTTTAGCTCGTGTTTGCTTAGTTCTGGAAATACGTTAATGTAGTCAGATACTCTGTGTACTGACGAATAATTAAGTGGTCATTTCGTGAATTGTCACGACCACTGTAGATATCTGATAAAAAACCTGGGCGTAGCAAATCTCGTGCATCGTTCCCTCAGAAGATCAGCCAGTAAGGCTAACGTGATCGCGAAAATTAGGTTTGCTTGCTTCCTGTGATTATTAGCTATTCACCACCTGATTAGTTTGGGTCTTCCAGATATCGGTTTGTTTATCAGTCCAGTTAGAAAATCGATTAATTTAATATACATTCCAATGTTTCTTCCGCAAGCCTATTCTAGCACACTTTTGAACTTTGTTGATCTGGGCCGCCATTACCTTTATTGGTAAGCAGGCTGGATTGATTTCACTTCGCTTATTGGTGGTTTTCAACAGATGACCGCATTTCTGTACGTCGACGTCCTTTATTTGTTCTCATGGATCAAGTGGATTGTGTTAATAAAGTAAAAGTTATATTCAACGATATCTACTTACGACAAATAATCAGTAATAACAAAAGGGAACTTCGGGCTTAGCGAACTACCAATTTGATTTTGACGCGAGGCTCACCTGGATTCCGGCTACATGTCCCGTTTAGGGTGTTTCTGGACCATTTAAAGGATCACAGAAGAGCACTATAGAATAAAAACCAATGACCTAGCTGGACGTAACGTGAATACACTGCTCCGGAGGCATAAAGAAAGTAGGTGATTCCAAAGAGTCCTTCCACTCCAAGGGACATCAAAAGAAACTATGGGGAAATTTGAAAATTTCTATCGATAGATCTAGATGATTAACCAAACATGCAATGGGTCGGTAGAGAAATAAGACATGTGCATAATAATCAACTACACACTTCAGATTAAGCGAGAAATTGTCCAGATGGCTGCGGTGAGTTTCAATGTGATCTTTGTAATTCAGTGATTTGCAGATGTTGCAGTACTAAAGCTGGAACATAAATTTCAGAATATGGATTCGTGCCTGGACGACTTTTTCGTCATCAAGCTGAATGATATTTAGCGCACAAGTCAGGTAACAAAAGCAACTTTTGTGATGAGATACCAATGACAAAGAAGCAAGTGATAAGAAACTTGCATTCTTGGATGTTCCTATCAGTAGGTTTCCAAACGGACAGTCACAAGCCTAGAACTAAAGGGAGGGGGCTAAGCACTCAGGAAAAAATCAGTGGTGTTGCTCCAGACAACCTAATTGACAAAATGCTATTTATTTGGATACGTTTTATGTTTATAGGTACATACTACAACATTAAGAAGTTCAACGACAAAGAACAAAAGGCTTTTTACAAACTCGTTCATTGAGACCCGTATCCGATAAATTTCAGCTGACGGACCTTTTGGAAACCTATTTCGATTACATCGACAGTCAGAGCTGAAACAGGCCTCAGGCCTCATTATAATGCAAAAGATATAAGCCACAACGCCTCACGTTTCAACAAGGGACCACCGCGATTTTTGAGAAGCAGAAGAGCAATTGGCTATTCACAAAAAAACATATAAACACAATCAACCAATGACGATTTCCTGAGAAATGGTGGTAACTGGTCTGGAATTCAGATGGCAGATCATCAACTACATCATCGACACCGATTGTCCTGTTCATGAAATCCTAATTGCTTGGAACAACTGCAACTTACACGATGACACGAAGCACCCAGCATTTTCAGATCACTGAACCCAATTTCGGTTTGAATCCTCCATGGATCTTGGCGATCATGGTCCAGACAAATTGAGTTGCTTCCAAATTCTTCCATGGCAAAGTTCTGGAGAGCTCCTGGGAATTGGCAAAGTTGTTGAGCGTTACACAAACCTGACAGAATGAAACCATGTCAGTTCACCAAAAGCAAAATCAATGCAACAAAAGCCACAGTAACTTTCAGGGAGTTCGTAGTTGAAATTTACATCACTCTCCAATACTTAAATCTACGAAAAGTGCTAAAAGCAGGGCTTTCTTAATTGTTCCTCTCTTGCCCTTATTAAAAGCAACCGCATCCGCTTGTTTGGCATCAAACAACCTCTGATAAATGTTCTCTTCGAATGTTAGTCACCTGTAAGTGTGGTTGCAAGCTAACCTGCTTCGAAACTCACACGACCGCCTTTCTTGGGGAAAGCCACTAAAGATCGTACGAAGTGTATTTCCCTGTGGAAACGAACGAATATAAAACGTAAAAATGACCATCCTAACGACTTTCCCGTCACATTTTCCCGACTTGAATGCAATATGACCGACATTAGGTTCCTGTACAGGACGTGTATGTCCCAAAATTTTGCTGGACGCAATGGAACCCCAATACTTTACTAAGATTTTTGTTGACCTGTGAAACCCCGTTGGATGAAAACCAAAGCAAGCTATGTGGTAGTTTCCATACCGTTCAGTCTGAGACGTCTAAATCCTCTGCGAATGCCCATTTTCGTCGTCGTTTGTCAGCCAAGGGCTTCTCAGGAACTTCTGGGACGGAGAACTCACACCATCCTCTCGTTGCCTGTTGAAAATGGGTTGCTGGCCACCTGCAGTTTTTATAGCAATCAGTGCACATCGCGTAGTTCGGTTTTGGCCGGTTTCTTAAGGGATGACTTCTCAGCTCGAACTGATTCATTTAATTGGAAGTTTTCCGCACAGATTTTGACATCGTAATTCCACCACACTGTTGGGAAAAACTGCTTGACACAATGACCCGTTTACTTCCGGGAATCCTTCCGATCTTCTCCGTCCTCCTAACTCTGCAATTTGGGGTTGTCAACCAAAATGTATGCATTGCTGACCTGAAAACACAAAATACCTGATTCGTTCGTACCATCTGCAGCACTGAATTACCTACGTGGACAAGGAAGTTGTTCACCTTGTGTCTTATGAACTCTTCAAATGCCTGTACGTTGACCAGTTTAAATGCGCATAGACGTCTGGTCATTAGTACACTATTAGGTGGATTTCTGATCTCTCACGTTCTCCTGAAAGTTCTTTCAGTATTAATTGCTTGTAAAGGGTTCATCCATTTTATTCTTCCATGCGGGTTAGGCTTGGTAGGAGGTACATTAATTGCGTGCAATAATAGCAATGACAGCGGGTGATGATTTCTATGTATGTTCATCATATAACTCCGACAAATGTCTCAGTGAATTTCTTGAAAGAATACACATTTAGTCGGATGTTGTTGAAAAATGTAATTACATCCTAGGTACAAGGGACTTTTGTTGACACACTGATGCAGGTGACAAAAACTAGCTAAGCGATTTGACTTTGAGAGGAAAAAAAGACCTTTATCTAGGAGATAATTCAATGACAAATCAATGACAGAGTGAAGCTATTAATTTCATTTACATTATTCTGCGGGTGATCATTGGTAAACCGGCTGAGCTTATTGGAAGCGTTCTAGGTTTTTATTGGTTTGTGAGAATCCATCCAGTGAAAAGGCCGAACTTACCTGAATCAATATTGATTTCCTGAGTGCACACATGGCCAAACCTATACCAGAGTTCTTCTTTCCTCCTATCCTGTAATCGAATTTAGAAACATTAAAGTTCAGTTTCAGTTACTTCAGCAGCAAACTACGCAATGTAATTTTTTTACTCAGAGCGCGATGCAATTAATGGGTGTCATTCTGAGCGAATAAACCCAACTAATGACTTTTATGTCGGAAAAAATTTTGACCAGAATTCTATCTTCTATCTTACGAATATGCCAGGTCTTGTTCCCGACACCACCTGGTGATTATTGTGCTTTGTACCCACGGCACAACGAAGCATCCGGTTTGAAAACTATACCAATAGAAAAAAAGCCAACTTCGACAAGCCGGACTCACAGCCGCACCCGCCAGCTTTTTGAGGCATTGTCTACGTCATTTTACCACAGGCAAAAGTCACTTGCTTGGATTCAAACAGTTCAGATGCATACCAGGAAACACCATAACTGTTGGGAGTTTTTTCAGTGTTGCGGTTAATTCCTCACTGCTCACGGCGAATGCCAGCAGGATTGTCTCTGAGTAATTGTCTCGACGTCAGAATCATAGCAGTTAAGATTTATCAGTGTACCGCATCACACATTAAGGGTTAGAAACAGGCAGTGCTGGCCTTTACTGACAATAATTACATGTTACCTTATATATTTCATCACACTGGGACTACACTGAGCTGACGCATTGTTTGGACGAACGTACATCACACAGAATTTTGGTTTGACACCTGCGAAAACACTCAACCGAAGATCAGTTTATGCCATTTGGTTAAGAAAAGTAATGGAAGCGACCACTGTCGAAACGGTTAAAACTCTGGGCAGATGAATCTTCCATCGTAAGGATTAACTTACCGTAATTATTGGACAGTTGTTTATCTGTAAATATCTCCCACCAAAATTGTATTGCTTTAACAGTTGATTCATTTTAGGACGGTCAACATTGTGTGCGTGATATGCCAGTGCCTTGATTGGACTGATGTCACACAATCCGTAACCACTGCGATCTGGTAGACAGGCAGGTATATTGTATTCGGGCCACCCGCAAAATGGACTCGGAGGGTTATTTCTGAACAAGACGAACGGACGGCCGAGAATAAAATTGTGTTCATTTGGTGATTAGAATGGAGCATCTATCCATAATTACCAAATCAAGGACGAAAATAGAAAAAAATGACTAAGGAAATCCACAGAAGTCTTGACAAAAACTAATATAGTGACTGTTAGCTTTGTGACTGGTCTCATGGTTGGTACATTGTAAATTTGGAAACAACTACTAGGTATTCTATGTATATTCGCATGTATTGGGTGTAAAACGAGCCACTGGATTATCGGTCGCAGAGTGAAGTGCAGCGGTCAAATGTGAGACAAGTTTCCGTAGTAGAACACCTCGTAGGCAAATTCCAGTTCATAGGTTTCGCTTACAGTGTGGACAGTAGGTAACATGGATTGTTTGCGTGAAACTTGAATAAAGAGCACTAACCTTTGTTGTTGCAATTTCACAAAATCATAGCACGATTTCGTCACAAACTCTTCTCCGGCTAGTAGTCCCCATGTAGGCACAGTTGCGTGGGCACCACTAACATCGTACCAACTAAAATGTTCAGCAGAAGGAAACATGTTACTTTGAGTCAGTTCTGTCACGGATTTACAACAAGTAGACGGTAGAGAATATTCTTCTCTGGAGACTCACTGAAAATGAATTTTCAAATAGTAAAAGATTTTTCAGGGTGGTAATTGGGGGGCTAGTATACTGACTTATATGAAGCATGCAAGTCAACATTCTATAAATTTGGCCCCGAAAAAGTAACAGGTAGGGCCATTTAGCATGACAGGTTGTACTTGTGGAATGACGTATGTGGGTATATCGAGGAGTGAACCAGCAGTAACAGTAAAATTTTCTGAAGCTCGGATGCTCATTCTTACTGGCTGACAGTACAATAAAACTTGAGAAATGTTCAGGCGTGAGATAAAAATAAGCATTTGCGTGGATGGAGATGCTTGGTAGGTCCAAAAATTTGAGGCCATGGAGGAAGCTAGAAAGTCCGGGTGAGTGTGGAATGTTTTCAGCTGATACTCTCAACAGGCCCGGAATTGTCCCAACCAAACTGAGTGAATTGGCTGTGGAGTCCGTTTCCGGAGGCACTGGCCATCACAGAGAAATTATCCTGACCTTTATTGTAGCTAGAAGCTTTCCGTTGCTTATTTCACGTCGCCTAACAAAGGCGCATGAAGACAAGACCCGAGGATGACAATCAGGATTCCTTCCAGGAAGAGGCTATTTGGACTATATCTTCGGACTCTGTCATGTAAGAGAGCAGTGGCATGCGTTTAAGCGTCTTAAAACCACGATTTTCCTTAAGTAGAAGAGTGTGTTCGATCCCATCGGTCAGCTGTTTCTTTGCAACGCGCTTGTACAACAGGGTGTACTGGAGAATTTTGTGAATATATTCACGTATAAGAACTTTACCAAAAGCTTCCTCAGTAGTGTTCAACGGTGTTCCAAGGGAGCTCAGTCTCTCCATTTTTGTTTAACATCATCAGTAATGAACTAACGAATGCTGGATGTCCTCCAATGCATCGCCGTTTAGATCTATGTAAGCGAGATCCATGATGCCACGGTATATTTAGGCAACGTCACTCATTTATGGGGACCGGGTAGAAGTGCAAGTCTGGCTGGACGAGTTGACCATGTTCATTCAATCCTTCTCCTTATGTATCGCAGCAGAAAGCCACAAAGTCACGCTACCTTGTTTACACTCATGGGGCGACACTGCAAGGTTTACGTATCTCGGTGGAGTAGTTTGACGGATTCGGTCAATGCGCGAATGTCCAAGGCTGGAATTGTGGGTGCTACTTTGAGCGAATTATGTCATCGTTGGGTCTTTATAGAACCTTACATCAGACTACGGCAACGGCTGTGTTGCTGTTGGGCCACGGGTCTTGGCCTTTTTGAGCGTAGGATCTGAGACATTTTCTGGTTTTGGCTAGAACGAGAAAATTTACATTGAGATGATTAAGAGGCGGATACCTGTTGAAGCTGACGGTACTTCCTAAAGAACTGCATTCAGATCCAAAATTGAGGATAGCTGGACCATACCCAGCTATCCAGCGTTGTTTCTCTGCTTATTTCAAAATGGCGAAAAGCCTTATCTCTACTGAGTGTGACTAAAGAGAGAACAATTTGGAGTGGTACGAGGAATCTTTGTGCTTCATGTGCAAATGATGGGTAAAACTTCGTGAAGTTTGGCTGACATCACCGAAAGCTCGCTTGGTTGAGCGATGACAATGCCGCTCATTGCGCCGGTTTCCATCTAGACCGATTGACTGAGCACTGGAGACTTGTAGTATGCTAACGTTAGGCTCACCGGCGTGTTTCAATTTTTCTCCTTCCAGCTGTGAGTCTTTATTCAAATATACGGACATAGTTTCACATCAGCAGAGCGATAGATTTACCTCTAGCGTTGCTGCCAAGGATGGTGAAAATTTTACCGATAAACGTCATATGGAATGCACCTTTTTGGTGGCATCCCACCCTGCGTGACATTGTTTGTTCAGCGGTGCTGTGGGTTATGTCAATAAATTTCCACTTAATCAATGAGACTGTGACTTTGCTGTACAGAGCGATGCTTTCCTTTTTAAATATTGTGCTCACATGGTTTCGCGGTTGATTATGTGAAGTTTCCCTGTATTTATCTTGCACCCGAACTATCGCAATTCGTTTTAGCTTCAACTTACGCTTTGTCCAAACACAATTACAGCTATCGTTCTTACAGAAATATCGTGTTTAGGTTTTATTTTCGATGTGATTGATATTTACTGCAGCAAAGGTCTTTTATTCAGCGATGCCTGTAGAAAAACCGCACCGGTAACTACTCCAGCTTATGATAGCACATTTGTCGACCACTTTGGAACTACTAATAAAATTTCGTTACTGAGCTCACCTGGCGCGTCTTTGAAATATCAGAAGTAAGGTTGGGTTGGTTTTTTGTAGAGAGAGATGTGACTTGCGACCGTATTTATTGGAAAAGCACGCTGTGATTCCTTTTTCTTTGCACTCTGGTTGCAACAATGCAAACTTACGTTTACAGTTTGTTTTCCACAAAAGAACGCATTACAATAGCGGGACTTTTCCTTGATGAAAAACTCCTAGTGCCAGCTATGAAATAACTGAGCTTAAAAACACAGAAACAGATTAGAATAAACAAAGTCATCTTTGTTGTGTAACTTTTAGGGTGGTTTAACGTGTGAAATTAAAGACTAGTAAGATAAAGTTACTCACCCTGTGTCGTACATGAAAGCCAGAAGGAAATGTGTGATCTTCGTTGGTATGCCAATCGGAGCGGTCATTAGTTCACCCTGAATGGAAGGGAGAAGAAACGACTGAAGTGCACAAAAATGATTACCATTCAAAGAGTTTAAAATGTACTAGTGCCAAGGCGCTTCCGATTGCAGCACGTAGTGGAATTACTGATCCATCAAGACTTTGAAACTTTGACGTAAGTTGTATCTATATTCACGTCACACGAGTTATATATCTTCTGGTGAAAAACAGGTGTACATGTGGAACATGTTGCTCAATTTCATCACACTGTCGTGCAAGACTAGAATATTAATCTCCCTATGAATGTTTTGCCTGCAGTAGGGGGTGCGTACACATTATTTTTTAAGAAGCGGATTCTAGCACGGCCTTAATATGGAAATTGAAGCCTGTCGGCTGAAAGCTGGTTCACACAATAAGGATTGTTCTTAACGCGGATCATGAACACCATTGCGCCGGAGTTTGAATTGCACTATCCAGCGAACTGAGCCTATTTATCTGCTATGCATAAACAGCCGGAGGTATGGTAAGTAGCCTAAGTTCACGAGTCTTTTGTTTACTTCACTGTTCCAAAACCAAATTCAGCTGTTCAGTCCAAGTTCCGCTTGCATACTACTTGCAGGCCAGACTCCCAGCAGAAATTTCGGAAAGTTTTTTCCATCGTACGGCCTAAATCAGTTGTTAGTGTCTTACTAAGTCGTCCATAAAACCCGTTCTAAGATCAGAATCTAAACATTTCTGAGAGATTTACATGGCAATATTTTCAGCTATCAAATTTGGCTTGAGATAGGTTTGCGTTACGTCCTTATTGAGATTGATGCGGAGGCAGTGCGCTTCCCAGATTCTTTCAGTCATAAAACTTCAAGGTCAGTGGATTAATACGTTGAGGAGAAGGATTGTCATGAAGCCAATCATAGCAAAAACATCTTGTTTAACCGAGATCCCTCCTTAAAAAGGCGAATGACTATGTTCAGCAAAAGTATGTCTTTTGTAAGTATGGAGCAAATCTAGCCAAATTATCCACACTGAGTGTAAGCAGTAAGGAATGCTGAAAAATTCCTCGCCAGGTGGGTCGCTCTGAAAAACGGTGACCCTGAAGCGCATGCCCAAAACACATTCACTACCAGCTCTCTACTGTGCGCTATGAAAAGCGTTGTTGTTTTGGTGACAGCGGTTGGATCATAGAATCTGTAGGGCTATTAACGAACATACTAATTTTATTCCATTCAAGGTAGTGTTCTGAGTGAAATTTATGGTACGAGCCATCACTGAGCGACAAACACACGGATGAGGATTATTATTACGCCTATTAGACTAGTGATATTTTTCATTAAAATTATGCCTGTAACTTTTTTGAATTAAACTAAGGGGATGACGTCCACACGAACACCAGCACCTTTGCTATTTCCAGAGAAAAAAGGGAAAAAACACTGAAGTAACTCGTTTTTATGGCATCTACGCTACGTAGTAATTTCACATAACACCTATGACAAACCATTGAACATCCGCTCGTCGAAATGATTATAAAGCCATTTCCTGCTGCAGTGCCTTAGGATAAAACTCTTCATCACTGCATATAACTTCGATGCAGTATATAATTATGTTGATCACTGTTTCTAGTCTTGGGCTAAAATTTACAACACACGGTGTGCGGTAGGCAACTTGATTTATGAGGAGAACGACCGACATCCTTGAATGACTTCGCTGCAAACCCTGTTCAGAAGGTTCGGTTAAACACTTCAAACTCCAAGTCACGTAGATGACAACTTGTGAAGAATTGTAACTTTTATTCACATATTATGGTTTAGGTGAACTCAGATTTTCAGAACGCTTGAGAATTTCCTCTAAAGTGCTGCTCTGGCAAGCAATTCGCTCAGCTTTTTATTTAGAAGCCAGGTAATGATGATTGTTGATTTATTTATCCAGCTTGCTAATCAAGTATTTGCAAGTCAATTATCAAGCTCAGCTAACGGATAACTATTCGATAAACGAACCCGAGCTACCAATATTTCGACAAACTCCCAGAAAAATATCTCTGTTCCGCTCTTTCGGAGCTTCACTATCTGTTTGAAGTCATAAATAAGTCAAAGTGGACAGTCTAGAGCAGTCCATGCTGTAACACTGGTTTTCCTTCATCCACATCGGATATGTTTTCAAAACACACAAAGCCACTAATATCCAAATATGACTCTCGTGCCTTTTAAATATATGATGTGTAGATACATAGAGCTACAGTGGGAAATTCGGAACAAATTTCGTAAACCTTTTAGGTTAGGATGTCCACTACCAAACCGTTGAGATTACAGATAGTTAATGGGTTCACATTTGTTGGAAATGAATTCACAAGCTTAATCACTTTTCTGATATCTTAGGAAACTTGCGAGCTCTATGTTATGTTACATAAATGTTTCCGACGTTATTTTTTTGGGATTCGTCCACTATTTTACAGCATGGATCGCAATTGCCATCTAGGGTATGCAGCACATTGGCTCATTGCTCATGCTTATGTGTCACCAAGACTGTCGTTGGATCTCGGCCGTTCAGAAGAAGTAGCTAGTGGGCAGTCAACTGGGTTCACAGTGGGCAGGACGGAGAACAATTTTCAAGCAACAAAACTAATATGACTCATATAACTGCCTACAAGCGCCTCCTGACCTACTTCCGTCCTGCTTCCGGACACTGGCTACTGACAGAGGTATTTGAACTTTGCACACCTATCGAGTAATTGCATTGTGCGTCGGCTTAAAAATAGGTCTTTCTCCGGAATTGAACCCATGATCGTATGGTCTTTGAAATCTAACTAAACGGTGAACTGTTTAGGAAAGTGTCTTGTAAATTGCATCCTATGGAAATACAAGTCCCTTTTCGAAAGAAAGCAGATTGCACTGCTCCGCACAGTGATTCGGTGCATCCAGTGTTTCACGAACTACTAGGTCAAACGTACCGACTGAATTTTCCGTCGGGAAGCATATTTTATTGAGGTTAATTAAGTGTTTGGGAATGTCCTTAGCAAATAGCCATGAAATCTTGGATGCTTGATGAAATACACCTATAATGACGTCCTCCCAGCTTCTATTGGTTGATTTTTCTACATGGCCTGGGAGTGACGTCCATGAAAAAACCAACAGTATGTTGACACTGGTAAGAAGTGATCCTTGAGGGACTATAAAAGGCGGGTATCATCAGTATCACAGCAACTTTTATTCGTTACCTGTCACACTACATTATCCATTTGTTAGGTTATGTGAAGGTAGGAGCGTCCACATTAAAAAACAATAGTTCCGGCTAATGCCACTTCGAATCAAAGACGAAATTTTGTCAAAAGTATTTTGACGGAAATTTGATTGTGTGCTATTCATAGAAGGTGCAGTTGTGAAAATTGCCACTAGCTTTCTTTATTGCACGAACGACATTCTACGCTTTCCAAAGGCTATCACCTCTCTATTCCGTGCAATATCTGCATTTGGCTTACACGAGTCACAGTTTTTGAGAGGATTATGCTGCATAGATATACTTAAGAAATTCGGGCCATAAATATCAGTAACCTTAAAAATATCGCCAACACATTTCGCTACGTCGTAGCCCATCTTTTAATGTCTTACCTGAACTCAATGCATTATGAGCCCATATAAGGGAACTTCTATGATTTAGAATGTTTGAGATTCGGAGTAGTAGGGCCGCTAGTTATCCCGGGGTTATATATTTGTCCAAGTTTGCAACTATAACGTAGTTTGGCATTCTCTCTGCACATATGTGCTGGAGAACTAGTAAATGTAAAATATCCAAATGCTGTGCCGGACAGTTACTGGTTCGTCGTTCGATGAGTCGAGCACGCCCATCACATCACTCAAGCGTGAACACGTTCGCCTGGTCAGACGTGAAAATTCAGATGCGTCCAACGTGTTCGTGGAGTAGTAGGAATATTCTTCCCTCGCATGTCAGATGTCCCAGCAAGAGCTTTGGATATGCACTGCTGCCGTGGTCAGTACAAAAAATAATATAGCCTTACCAGTGAGGCATGTAACTTTGATAAGATGTGTCTGCTTTTCGGTGCGTGAAAACCCAATAAAACATATTAGCACTGCTTGTGGTTTATTATTTAACTGAGCAGCTTAGTTGCACATATCCAATGTGATACCAAGTGAAGTCACATGGGAAACGTTTTCAGTGTGGAAACCACAGAACCTCTAGACCGGAAAAAATGAAATCCAGAAGAAGCCGAAAAGAATGCTCACGTGGGTGCCAAACAATCAGAACAAAAACCGTCTATCCATGGGGTCGAACTACTATGCCGGCAGAGTGACCAATAGTACGTATGAGATGCGGTCAGATGTACGTTTCAACAATGCAACACTACTCTACCTAGGGTTGTTGGTTACACGCGCAGTTCCACTTTTGACCAGTAAACTTATGATGGGATGGAACGGGGGATGGAACGCTAGTGAGTAGGTTGCCCAGCGCAGGAGACAATGAAACCAGCATCGGGGAAACCACAACTAGCGGAATTCTGCTCAATAGATAATTATAGGATTGCTTCTGTGTCACTGCTAATGGTTTGCTGCCTAATTCTAAATTGAATCCTTTAAAAGTTTTGAGGTTTCGATATATTGAACGCATTGGTATAATGATTGAAATGATTTAGTCTCAAAGTGAGTAATGATATTAATGTCACAAAAACTTACCAAAGCGGTTCTACCATCAAAATGAGAACGTTCAAGTCCTTCAATACTCAAATCCTCCATTGGAAAGGCAGTTAGATTGGGTGCGTTGAATATCCGTCGTGCAACTTCCTGAAATCGACCATGAGAGACGATTAGGTCGTCCAAAACAGCCGAGCTTCATTCTCATTCGAGATACCTTACTGATGCGGGTCGAGTTTGGTGTTTCTGTAATAACAGTGCTTAAACGAAACTTGTCATCAAGGATGATTATCTGTAGGAAGCCTACGCAAGCCAACGGTGGTCTTTAAAATTAGATCCAAATCAACATGCCCGTAGGTGAACTTTGTAGTTGTAATTTTTTAATCATCATGCATACATACATACATCATACATATTTAAAGCAGGCGCTGTTGAAGTGCGCACAGCTTAGGAGGATTCCTCTTCTAAGGAAGTACTTGCGTACTGAAGTTCTGACTTGCACACTATACACAAGCCTGATTAGTTGGCTTCAGTTATTGGAAACACCGCACTTTGTAGACGTGAGTAATGTTACAAGACTGATCAGCTTTCTAATTGTGCAGAAACGTATCAATGTATACCGGTTGTTGAGCAGAAAATTTGTTAGTCTCAAAAGCATTCTTATCATTATCGTTGACTAGGCTATCAACCGAATTGCCAGCGACTTACCAGTACAGTTGGAAGAGTAAAGTGAAAAACCGTTTTCTCAACACTTCTACTGGCTGTTTGTAGCACAATTTTCTTTTCCAGACCAGTGGTTGTTCTAAAAGGATACAGAAGAATGTGGATTAAAAAGGGTAATGAAGTACACAAATGCCATTAAACACTGCTTTCGATAAAAACGGATCATCAAAGAAAACCAGTTTAAAGTGAGAGGATGAGTAGTTTTGTCAGTTAAAATTTAAAGGTGACAGACAAAATTTTCAAACGTCTACCAAGCAATCCTGCTTACATTTTACTAGTTTGATAAAGATGAAATATTCAGGCTGTTGTCAACTGCTTCTACTAGTCACGATATTGAAGGAAAAATGAGCCGCGTCCTACTCGTACTAACGAGGACAATCGCAAAATGCACTTCCTTTCATGTGATATGGTCAGGTTTTTTTGAATCCGAGGTTACTTTTGAGGATTTGTCAGCTAATAATTTTATTCATCTTGCTCTAGCATTTATAGGAGGAATAAACCTGTGTACACCATTCAGACGCTGACTCATTTTAAATGAATCTGACTGTATATTTTGTTGGAAGGCTGAGACCAGTTACAAAATCTGTGGACACCTACAAAGGACTGAGGAAAAGGACTGGATTCGTTCTCGAGACTATACTTACACCGTTAGGCTTCAAAGAGACCAGGTGATCAGATTCTGATCAGAATTTCGATGCCGACTAACCTTATTATCTAAGTGGTACATTAGACGGAGTAGTGTTTGTCGATAAATTAGACGGAAATTGAAAACAACACTTCCGGGCGCGCTGTATGTGGTAAGGTTGGTTGACGGTAACGTATACGCAGGTTGTTACTAGTTGTTTGGTCTCTGTAAGGCAAAACCTAAGTAAATAAATAAATTTCAACCAAATGATTAAGAACAATCGTATGAACTCAAATAAAGTCTTACTGCTCTAAGTGCAGCGCATTTCTACCATTGCTAATTAGTCCTAGTTGTTTAGAAGTAGGCAAAGTATTAGGGAGCATTGAATGAGCTCCGAGGAAGGCTACAAAGTAGTTTGGGCGATAAGTTTTAGAACCACATACAGAGGGAGGACATACAGCCTTTTAATGATATAAATTATTCGGTTGTCTTTTCCTCACTATGGTGGTTTAATAGCGTATTTGAGAAATGAATGCACTGCATGCGTTTAACTCACGCTGTAATGAAAACGCCTTTATCATTTTGTCCTAAATTAGGGACATCAGTCAATTTATTTCTTGGGGTACGTGGAGTTCCGTCTCTATGACGCAAGAACGCGTACGAACTTGAGGTTAGGCCCTGAAAAAAAGAGCACAGCGCACAGAGAATGTACTTGGGAGATTAGGAGATTAACAAAGGGGAGGAGAGAGGTTTGGATGCGGCCAAAGATGTATAAAATTTGCATCGTCGGCCAGGTTATTATTTTAACAAACTTTTGTCAATAAGTATTTCAAATGAAGAAATTTGAATTCGTCCGCGAGTAAAAAACTATTATCTTATTGCCTTATTGTCTTGTTGCTGTATGACCATGGCAGCATAACTAACTATGAGCACACGGAAACATAAAAACAGAAAAGACAACGAATGTACGCCGACATGATTGATAGCAGGAGTGTTATCACTCTGCACACCACATACGTTAAAGAACGTCAAATAATGCTGGTTAGCGGAGGGCAGTACGTTAATTTATCCGCAACATCATCCGAGACATTATTCGGTTGATTTCTTCAACCTTTTAGACCCGAGAACTTTTGTTAGCATCGCGTCTTCTGATTTTTCCAGCTAGCCCCGCTTGGATAACTTGGGTGGTATTATTACAGATCTACCTGTTTTTTAGGGGGAGGCGTGAAATAATTGCTAAAAAAACATGACATGCATTAGAGTTTGGGCTGGTCTTTAATTGCGGGATGAAAAACATCAAAGTATTGAAGAAACTTACTACACTGTTTTGGAGTTGTCGGTGATAACGCCTTACAGCGGATCAAGTTGCTGCTGCTGAAAGTAGAACTCAACAGGACAGCGGCACACTGCCAAGATGTTTCAGACTCGTAGATGCACGCAGTCTAGTCATAAAACGTATACGCCTATTAAATGTGTTTTGCACACCAGCTTCAAATATAATGCTCAGATCACAGTCGTTTAATACCCGCCCTCAGGGCAGGTTAATTATGTCTGATAGAGAAATAACGAATAGAGTCGTGACCGATATTAATTTCCGGTGCTTACCAGTGTATGGGCGATTTCATGCAATAATATCTCTTTCTGGCGTCTGTTTGGATAGTGTATTGTCTTCGAGCATACGCTGATTTGTGCCAAAATTGGCCTGAAATAGTGAAGAATTTAATAGTTAGGAAGGTTGGAGACGAATCATCACTAGCTTGCCCCAGAGACAAATCATAGCCACTGGAATCTTCATTGACTCTGGTGTACTTGCTTGTAATCCTGTGGTTAAAACATTGACCCTTCCTGTGTGTGTGCGTATTCACAGAGGCAACACTTTTTCTAACCTGAGCTAGCAGATGTTTTCGAAACAAAAAGATGGTTACGGGGAGGCATACACAGTTTGTTGTCACAGAATTAATCATGAAATGGATGAATTCAGGTGGTATTCAAACCATCTGAGGTTGACGTATTTTTAGACGTCAATAATCGGCACGTAAACCAAAGGTGAAAACAAAGTGTACAATTAAGACGTTAAGATAACATGATATTTAAGACATGACCGGAGTAAAGTTAGTTACATATGGAAGATGGTGTGTCCGTCAGGTCGCTGTTAAATAACTCTGATTGCACCGTGCTAATCCTGGTGTCATCGCTATTTCCTTCCCAACGGAGAGGTTTAGCATGAACCATCTTACCACCACTGCCCAAAGAAAATTGAAGCGTTATTGTGTGACTAGATTCAAATGAAAGATTCTGTTGGCTTAGGCATTTCATGTCCCAAATGTGCTTGGTTTTGCACGACGCGGTGTTCTTATCAGCTGATCTGAGAAGCTGATCCTTGACAAGGAAAACCGCTGGTCTATTTGGCCCAAGGAAGTGCTAATATATGTACACCGACACTTTTGTGAACGGTATAGGCTACCAGGTTGTCATTCTTCTCACTGACGCACTTGGGACTTTCTATGTCGTGCTCTGTATGTAGGAGTTAGAGAAAATGCAGAGCCTGCAACAAATCAGAAAGCAACGCGTTGAGCTGTAAGGCAATAGAGCAGTACTGTCTGGAAAAGTGATTCCACCGTTGATATGGGGTACACAAAAATCTCAGCGTCGAACTCACTGGGACATTTTGATTCATTGACCTAATGACAACCGATGAACTTTTGGCAACCTCTCGGCTTCTGAGTCTAATCCCATTTTTCACCAAATTCTCTCATGCATCCACAGGTGCTATAAGACTTAGCTATTCTTTCAGTGTGAGGACTTACTGGTTGGTGGATACGTCAGGTCTCTCGCCGTGCTGAAATAACTGAAACTTATCCCAAATTACCAGCCCAGAAATCGATAAAGAGAAGAACTTCAGTTTGCCCCAGTCAAAGACTGCGTTTTTATTTGTGCACTGAGAATTATCATCGACGCCATTCCAACTTCTGCATTGACTGTTCGCATTCGCCTGACTGCGATTGGTTCGGCACTTGACTGCTTCTTAAGTAACATGTTTATTGTCTGTTTGGAGTGCACTGAAACAATAAGAGCTTGCTGAATGGATGACCTTGGTCTTTGTTGATCTTCCAGTGTACGCTACTGAATTCTGATCATTGGTCGTCAGGCTTCCAGCCGAACTTGGACGGTTGTCGTTCATCCCTTTGCTTGGCACCTTGTTTCATGCTCTGCGTTCCTCCCATCCCTACACTATGGAAGGTAACATTTAGTTTGAAATTCACGTGTTATTTTGAAGCAACTAGTCAACGGTGTGACAGAAATAGTCTCGTAGACCACTTTGTGAGCCATCAGGGTGTCCACTTTGTTTAGCGTAAATCCAAGCGTATTCGGAATCACAAACAAAATTCTCGGGATTTTAGGCGTACTTGGAAGATGGTCTTTTGAGCAGATGCATACGTCAACTGTCTGATCAGCTCATATATATATATATATATATAATTATTTATTTATTTAATTATACGGGTCATGCTGCGCTTGTCCCAAAAGATTAGACGTGGGACTGTCAGTTATCTAAGTATAAATTTATTAGCGTAAGACAACCGTTCGGTGAACTACTACGTCATAAATGTAGGTAAAATGAACTTTTTCTATTATTTCGCAGTGCGAGATTTGTGGATTTCCGTCTCTACCAATGGAGTAGTTGGATATTAAGCCTGGCAGTCAACCTAGTAATAAAGTTTGGCCGCAGATGAAATAATTTTACTAAATTAACTCACCGGTCTGTCTGTTCATCGGCCACGCATACACTTGCGTATGCATCCGAAGTCTCACAAATACTCTGTTCGCCTGTTTTCATGATCACTAGTAGGTCCGTGTCGGATAATCCGACTCCCCGTGGGATAGTTACGTTCACACCCGCATCAGTACATATTCTGCATTCCTAAAAGTTGTAGAGAGCAAACAACAAACTGAGCCTAAATCTGGAGTCAGGAACTAAACTCTTTTGCGCTTAAGTACCCAAATGAAGGCTACTGCCAATTGATACGGGAAACATATAGATGCAGCTATTTCAAAGAGTATTCTAGACAGTCTGTGGTTCTACTGATGCAATATTTGCCTGAAACAGGCTCCGTGACCCACAAGTGCTTGTCATAGTAATCCTCCAAGATGTATGATATCTTAAGAAGAAACTTAAGCAATGAAAATGACCGATGTAAATGTCCAACGACCTTTGTTAGGGCGGAAATCGTCCAGATAAATTGCAACACCATACCTCATAAGTTGGCGGACGATGATGGCACAATGCGGTGATACGTATCTTCCAAAATCAATGAGAAAAGATCCAGATCACAGGTGTTTTGTCGAGCGGTGTCCAAAGCAGACTCAGGGTTTCTCCCATTTTAAAGCCCATCAGGCAGATCCAGTCCCCGGGCTTCCATTAGGCTCATACTATACTTGTAAACGTTTACTGTGATTCCAGCAATATTACGGGTTTATTTAACTCCCCAACATTATAGATGGTTGCAAGCTTCGCCAGATCACACACGGACGGGACACTGAAGTTCTAGAGGACGCAGCCGATTACCACGGAACTGGATTCCAAGAAGCTGCAGCGAATCGACACAGTAGGCATACATTTGAAAATGCAGTAGGACTGAGCTCCAGTGATGCCACCTTAATTCGACATGGTAATGTTTTTCAGTTGTGCAGGCCTTGATTATTTTCGTTAAATACATGAGACTTCTCAGTAATTGATCAATATCCTCCTTAGTGGGGCCTTCTTTCATCATGCCTAGGCACCACTATTTATTAGTGGCATTTTCTTATCAGTGACGATGATGATAATCTGTAAAGACCTCATGAAGTGGCTGTTGCAGTCGGTATTCAGTATGCGCGGTGTCTCTGCGTATGTCAAACTTAGTACCAATCCCGTCTTTGTACCATTACAGGCTTTTTAACTTCCAGCTTTCTTCATCCGCCCTAGTAATAAGATAATTGTTGGTAAATGCGTGCAGAAATCGCTACCTGGGGATATTCCGTCTATAATTTTGAGTAATCAGATATCGAGGGACATACAAGTGTTTATTAAACAGTGCTAAAACAAAATCAATTATTCCGTGGGAATTATGGTGAAATGTGATGAATAACAGGCTGAGGAAAATTATTAGCATTCTAAGTAGTAAAAGCGACTCAGTCACAATGTTTGCGTCCTCAAACAAGTCTAAAAACTTGAAAGTATCATTTTGGATGTAGTATGCAATTTTGACACCGCCCAAATGTTTGACAACTTTGCTGCAGTATGTTGAAATATTCCTGTTAGAGGAGGTGCCCTAATAGTTTCGTCTGAAGTTATCTCATTCCTGCCTAAATGGGTTTGAAAACTGCTAAAAAAGAAATTATCTACCCTCTTAAATTTATGTCGAACTACGTATAAATTCACGCCTTTGGTGGATGACTGTTGAAGAATACGTACTTAATTCGTTGTTTACATCGGCCAGTAAAGTTTTGACATTCTTCTAAGCAAAACGTGCTGTCGATACGCGAAACCATACTGGCACATGACCATGTCCCATTATGTCGGTGAAGGGGTTGCTCTTGAGTCAGGTGTTAGCTACAGGCATCTCAAACAGAATATTTGTAGAGGTTAACGCGGTTTTACGACGGTTCGAGTAGATATCTTCAGTATAGTTTATGTGATTCTACCTTCCTCCCCGCACGCTCTTGCGTCGAAGGTTCACACCTGTCAACTAATTCGACGTGTCCTGAATTTTACCGGATTTCCGTCCATTGTCAAGCCGTGCCTCTAGTCTTGGATCTTCGCAACTTTTCCATATCCATTTCCTTGGCTGCTCCTCCAGGCCTTCAATATCTAGTCCCTAATCAATGTGACGGAGAGGGCAAACACGTAACATTTTATGAAAGTACATGCTGTGGAGTATCTCGATCAGGACGCTTTTTTTCTCGGTACTTTACTTCGCGCCTTTTGGAGTTAGTTATTTGTTCTTGCTACCATATTTTGAAGCCTTTTCACAGTTTCACATTTTTCACAGTTTTCATAAATATATTTCCTGCAATATGGAACCCCGTTATGTTTGTCCAGGATATCTTCAGGTAACTTGCCCCCATTCTGGTACACATAACAACCTGCTGTAGAACGAGCTAGCAGAATTCAGTTATAGTAGCATACTTGCTAAACCGCTAATTTGCTACTGCACTAACTCAAAGATCATGGACCTCATCAAACTTTTTCAGCTCAGTACTTTCGAATACAGCTGAATTGAGTTTAGTCGTTGCCACACATTGTATAGTATGAGATGGATCTGGCAAGGATACTCACTAAACATACACTTCAAAGCAGCAGTCGGTTGTACGGAAACAGCGTAAATGTGGAGGTGAAAATATTCGACTTTATTTTCGGGAGCTCCCGTTAACAAACCAAGATCTTCCGGTATGACCCTACCCATGAATGTGTTCGCACGTACGAGGCAATTTCATGTGATAATTATGAATAACTGTCTTTGGTAGTGGATAATTCAACAACGTTGCGGATTTCAAAAAACTACCAATAGAAACAACTCTTAATAATCCAAGATCAACTCTCCAGCTTGTAGTTTTGTGACGAAGAAATGTAATGACGTTGAATATTTGACTCTTCTGAATGTCAATTTTTCGAGTCACTGGCATTTCTCGCAAGTGCTGCTGCATGAATTTATTTAATTGTTTATTTATTCGTAAAACATTTCAGAATTTTACCACCTTTCAGCAATACAAGTCAACGCAAGGAACGTATGAAATTGTATAAAAATTGAAACGTCAGCGAATCGCTAAGTGCAAACGCTACTTGCTGTTAACCTGTCTAGGGCTTCGAGTGTTTTGCGGGGGGTTGAAAGGTCAGTGATTTGAAGACACGAAATTGTGGGATTCGCGGCTCCTTACTTTTTCCGTTTAACACTAAGATGGCAGTGCTTGAGATTGCAAATGGTTCCACAAGATAGCATCAAACAAGCCTCGGGAAACTGAAAGCGAGAATTTATTTGTTATAACTCTGAATTTCCCAATGTTAAGATGCGTGTGATTTTTTTCTGGGGGTCATTGCAGGCTAGATTAACTTGAATGTTTTCACTGACAACAAACCAGCGAACCGCGCAACTCAATCATATTTGTATGGGCTGCTTTTAATGCAGTTTTACAGGTAGCATAAGGTAGGTCAGGTTGAGTGACTGTGGTAGATAGTTCTGTGGTTCCTATCCTCCAGATGGTTTTCAGTTGCACTGACACTATCCAGCTTATCCCGTTCCAATTCTGAGCTAGTCTCCGGAATAAATGCTAATTCATACGACCCGAAATTCCAGAGCAAAACTGGTAAGGGAGTAGCTTAGAATTGGCGTTTCAGGAACTTTCTCTTGTGTGTGCTCCTATCTGGTGCTGTTTGCTCTCATTGTCCATTGATTACATGGTCTTCCACAATGCTGATCTTGGTGAGATTCCTTGCCTGTAAACCGTAACATCCAAAGGCATAATCGGTTGCCCAATCATTCTCTTCCCTGATCATCGATGCTTATACGCGGGACCCAAACGCCTGCACAAACCAAACACGCAATTAGTCAGCTTCATCGAAGGTAACACTTGAAAACTTGGCACACATTCCCTGGATATCGCCTCCACATGAAGCAAAGACCTGCCGGTACGATGAACTAAGGGTTAATGCAGCCCTGACAGAAAATCAACCAAATTGACGAACTAAAGGTAGAAAATTCACAAAATATACTGTCTCAGATCGTCTACCTGTCCAAAACGCATGGGTTGGTATTTATTCTCATGCACTGGAAGTCCTTTGTGCCATACTTTGTTCCCCAGGACAACTTTGTGCACAACTGGTCTAAGTCTTTTGTCGCTACGTTTGGCCATCTTATTCCGTGGGCATATTGCGCGTTTTCACAATGCAGTTTTCTATCTGACATGCAAGCAAACGCAGTTTACTCATTCGCCACACCCGAGATTATTATGGTAATTTCCTCACTATTTAAGGACTACCGTTGGGGATTGGTTACGACTCACTTGACCATTGTGTAGATGGGTGCAGCTTTGGCTAAAAATGCCGCTGGATTTAGAACGTTACAAAGATCCACGTTTGGACGCCTTCATGAACTTCGAAGTTGGAAAACAGGTAACAAAATTTACAACCATTATGAATACCCTTTAGAATGCTGAATTGGATAGAGTGGTACCATCAGGCCACATAGATTACGCAGATAGTAACTACAAATACCTTATCGCTACTGTTGCAATTCGCATAATTTTGTATATGGTTCGTTTTATTTCTAGGTGAATTTAGTCCGAATTATCAAAGCAGAAATGTTATCTCTTCTTTGGTGCGTTTAATATTCATATGCTTGTGTTTTACCGTCAATATACAGTGTTTAGTGAGGTTTGAGCTGGTAGATGGATAAAAATGCTTGGCGCTGTGCTTTTCGGTAAATGAGTGGAGCATCAATTGGATTCACCCGAGTTAATGGAGAAGAGCAATTGCGTTTCCACAAGAACAGAGCAAGAGGGCAGCAGTAAACCTTCAGAATCCCGTTTGCCGGTACAGTCGAAACATTTATGGCACCGCGGGGTTTGTTAGATAGCGTTGCATGACTAAAGCTAATGCAATCGCAATAAAATTTTGGGATTTAACACTTTGCTATTAGGAGCGACCCAAGCAAACTTTGATTCTGCCCTGGTATACACTGTTCAACTTAGTGGCTTAGCGGCATACGGGACCATTTTGCACAATACGCTTAGGTACTATCTTAAGTTTACTGCTAAACCCTCTGCTGCTTTTTTACACTTTTATTTCAATGACTAATCTGCCTAAACGCTGTTTATTGGCTGTCGCATACTGAACGTTAATCGTTGTGTTGACCTAACAACCGGATCAGGAAGCAACACCCTGTG